TCGCTGAACATTTGCTTGTCTTATCTGTGCATAAGTGCAGCCCTAGGCCTCTGGTTAAGTCATCTGTAGAGGGGGAATGGGCTGAGAGCGGCGGTTGCATGTGTCGCTTTTGATCTGCTTCTCGCAGATAAGACTTATTAGTTTGTATGCAAGAAAGAAGCATCCTATGAATTTGCCAGACTGATGTTTTTACAACATTAAATGCCAGAGGACAAGTCTGATTTCAGGTTGGTGAGCGTCCTTGCTCTCAGAGGTATAGTTTTAACATAATAATGCGAGTGAGCACTTTGTGTTTCATGAAATCACAGGTGCAGCACAAACAAACAAGAGACTCTTGATGCTTTCACTTCCTCTTGTTGCTTAAAATAAAAACTTGGCTTTGAAGCAAGATGTCAAACTCTTTTACAAGAGCCTGACGGCGACGCACGGCCACCGACAGATGGCGGGTGATAATTAACTGGTAGAAACGGACACATTTCTCTGAACGTGCAGCCAGCCGAGAGGTAAAGGTGCTGATCTGGCAGACCAGACGGACGGGACATCCATTAAAGATTATAATCAGTGTTTTTCTGGGTTATTGAGAGAACAAATTGCTGCACTGTTGTTGATGAAAATTTCCTGTGTCTGATGTCACTCAGGCATTTTGGATATACTGGACTTGGAAATTACAGATATTAACTTTACAACATCGTGGCCGCGGTCCTTAAAAGTCTTAAAATATCTGAAATAAAGTTTTCCTAATAAAAAAAGGATTAAAGTGCCTGAAATTCAGGTTCGATGGGTCTATAAATATTTCACTTACACAGCTAAAATTTCTCTCCAGTCTGACGGACACAATGTCCGTCAATACCAGTGAAGCATTGAATCGCCAGAATGATTCTGATTTTTTACATCAGCGATTGATAATGATAATGTATTTCTGGTTGAGACTCGCACTGCCCGTCTTTTGTTGAGGAAAAAAATGTTGTGTTTTTTTATTTAGAACACAAATTTTGCTGAATATTTCTCACGATTGCAATGTAACATTGATTTTAGTTTAATAAACAAGTAGTTAGTAATAAATTACTTCACATTACTTACGTTAAACATTAAATATTACATACACTGTAAAAAATATTTTCAAGATTTGTTATCACAACATTTATCACATACATATTAAATAATTTATTTAGTTCAGATAACTTTATTATTTTGAGTTTCTGATGATTAAATCAATCTCCTTCGTTGTATTAACTCACTTTTCCAGTTCTTAAAAACTTAAAATTTTAAGGCAACCAGGTTACTTATTTTTTTAAGTGTTTTTTTTTTTTACAGTGTATACTTTTGTAATAATAATGTGTATTTCCATCACAGGTTTGGTCTTAAAACTGTTCAATCTATTCAATTTATTAACAGATACATATTTTGATTTTAATAATTTTTAGTAAATGTTGAAATGAACAGTAACTGAGATTAAGAAATGCTTTAAAGTATATTCATCATTGTTAGTTAATGATAACAAATGGAACCTTATTGTAAAGTGTTACCTTAGTTTTTTTTAAATTAATGTTTTTATTAATAATTAAAAAATACATTGTATTTTTTTATTATTGGTTTTAATAATAAATTAAAAATGAATAAGGGATCATTTAAATAAACCATTCTTAGTTATAAATGACTGGTGCAGGTGTGTGGTTAGTATCCGATGGTTAGTATTTTATCTTTTAATTGTATGTTTTTTTAAAATAATAAAATGCAATAATAAATACTGCAGACTTGTATACCAATACTTAATACTGACTTATGTAACATTACTGCAATTGTTTTCACTCAAAAGACCAAAAGAAGTCAAATCTTTAGTATGATTCAGTGAGTTATGGTTTTTGATAGCTTGTAGTTGCCGTGGAGTTTTGTGGTCAGATGATAAGATTCTGGATCTAGAGTTCTGATAAAGTATCCGTTTTATAAGAGAGCTGTGGTCATGAGTCAACACAGGTGTCAGCTTAATGCAACAGCTTGTGTTTGAGACTCATCTCATTTCACTTTATAAATGAATGTGTTTGGATGTTCGCCAGTCGTTTGCCGTTTGGTAAACTCATTAGTCATGAATCAGAGCAGATATCACATGAAATAAGAAAGGAGAATTAAATAAATAACTCTGTGGTTAGTCTTGTTCTCCAATGTGGTTTTGTAGTTATAGTTCTCAAATGCCTTGATTTTTCATTGAATTTAGGAATGTTTGACAAAAATATTGAGTCATAATCATTTTTAATCTGGTAAGGTGATTTTTGTAAGATTTAAAAAAGTTCTCTCAGACAAAGAATGTAGAATTTAGAATATAATGTAGAACTCGCAACCCTCTCAAAACACAAATTATATAACTTCCTCTTCTTTATGTTATTTGAAAACGGACTATTATTTTGATGTATGCATTGTTAAATAAAACTGATGTTTTTATGTAAATACGAATAGGATGCATGTATAGAATATTTAACTTTATAATGGCATAGTATAAAAAAATCAGTTTAAATATATTTTTATGACTGGCTATGATCATGTAAATGCATGTGTATGTACATTAAAATGTTTTTGATTAAGTTCATTAGTAAAAATTCACTTGAAATAAATATATGGTAAGAACAGGCTTGTACCCACTTCATCAGATGTTGATATAAAATGGTACTTAAAAACCAAATATTAACATTAAAGGTGATTAAAAATGCCTCTTTAATATAACATATGACTTTCGTTTCTGTCTAGTTCCTCTGCTTGAAGAACATCAGGACATTTTTGCACGCCTGCTCAGAGATATTCGGGATGAAGAAGAGCGAGCTGTTTGAGGCTTTCGATTTGTTTGACGTTCGAGATTTCGGAAAGGTAAGATACACTTTCACTTTCAACTCGAAGTTACACAATCATTTTGCGCTCGTCCCACAATGCACTGACATATTTGCTGTTTCTGTTTCCAAGCATCATCAAAGTGGCATGATTTCAATTTTTCTTGTACCACAGTCATCCGTCACAGTTAATGGTGTAGTAGCTTCAGATGTGGTAAAGGCAGCTGGGTTGTGTTTGATTTTCCTGACATTAGCCTGTGCGCTGGCTGTGTTTTTTGTAGCGTTGTGTCTCAGTTGATTATGTTCCGAGATGCTGATCTCTTCATCTGCTGTAATAAATAGTGTCTGCGTCTCATCCTGCTTCTTATTTAGTCCACTCTTCAGCTTTAAATTAAAGATCAGTGAATGATGGCAGGGGATGTGGCACGATTGTCTAGAATCTATTAGATCTTTAAAAAATTAGTTTGCTTGCTTGTTGGATTGACTGTATGTGGGCGTAGCTGTGTCTAGTTTTAACTGTGCATTATTATTGTGTATTAGAGCATATTGGCCCTGGCAGATGTTTTGCCCTAGGCTTGGTACTGCACTGATCAATATAGTCAAGAGCCCCTAAATCCCAAAGGGTCTCCTAATGCAAACTCAGCGACCTCTCAGTTCTCTCTCACCTGCTGTGAAACGTGAGCAGCAGACATTATGAGTGTTGTGTGATATTGTGAGAGATCATTTAATATTTCTCATTTCTCAGGGAAGTAAACATGTAAACAGCATGCCATCAGCTATAGCTGGTTTTGATATGGATTTTGTTAAAGGCCCCCTGAATTTTAGTATGAATATGTTAACCTTGAGGTTATGAATAAGCTGTTGTGTTCCAGAACAATGGCAAAATTTCAGCCCGGTCTCATCCCAAGGCGTCATATAATGACGCTTTTGACATTTCGTCTATATCCAACGCACATGGCACCCTTTAGCATCAATACGAGACGCAGATATATATGGGCCAGAAGGCGCCTCCTAGTGGTCTAACCCTAACCCTATCCCAGCCCTAAACCTACCCTTAACCAAACAAAACTCTGTGCGTGTTATATTGACGCTAAAGGGTGCCTTATGCGTTGGATTTAGACGAAAGGTCAAAAGCATCACTATATGACGCCCTAGAATGAGAATGCGTTGAAAAATCGCATTTTTGAGAGATAAGCATGCAAAACTTGAATGGATCACGGATTTTTATGATATCACCTCGGACGTCAGCTTCTCATCACATCTTCTGATGTCCCTCCCCCTATGCTTCCACCTGGGCAAAGCGACCGGTGTGGTGAAGAGATGAGTCCCCCTGAAGAGATGGGTCCCACCTTAGGACCCCATAGTATGCCAGTAGTATGCCTGATCTAAATATGTTCTCACGATAACTTGATAAAAGCAGTTTGTTGCCATTAAGCTATATGTTTATTTGTTTAGCACTTTTCAAGTAATACATTTATTTGTTTAGCGCTTTTCATAGTAGGTTGCGTCAACAGCAAAGGAGAAAGTCCGCGAAATTTAATTATTATTAGTTATTGTGTCATGAAATGTAATTTTAAGAGTTTTTAAGAATATAGTTGTTTAAAGCTCAAATCTGTGGTTTATTTATAAAGATTGCGCCTTTTTAAAACATTGTTCTGACGTTTTCGGAGTTGTCAGAACCAGGGATCAGCAGCACATCTAGCTAGCCCGCCTGGAACAGCCTTAACTCGGCTAGTCATTCTGACGTTTGCCGCGGATAAATGCTATGCTACTATGTAAGCTAACTAAAAAACAATAAGAACGAGAAATGTTTAAATTTACAATCTACAGCTTCGGTTATATAATAGTATATGAAACATATAAGTTAAAATACATTAATGACTCCTTATAACGTACTTCAAACGTCTCTTATAATAAACTGATTTTCTCTAATTTGTAACCAGGCACTAAAGCATTTACCCATAAAACTAGCTTTGAACCAATTGGATCGCTTGGGTCCTAAGGTGGGACTCATCTCTTCACCACACCGGCATTGACATGTCACAGAGCAATATGGGTTGAAGATGTGTGTTGGGTTGCTCAAACGCTTGAGTGTTATTCGATTTTCCGAGGGTACGATGGTTAAGAATGAAATGGCTAGAATTTATTCACACCTCTACTATTGAATCTAACATATCATCAAGTACGAATTGCAGTCTGTGAGGTAAACTAAACGCTATTGGCTTTTTGAAAAGGGGCAGGAGCAATTCAATATGTCTTGCCTTAGCTTCCTGTTTTAGTGGAAACTAGCCAACACATCGTACAAAGCTGCGCGCTCCAAGGCACTTCAGTGGGTCATGGAAATGGACAAAAAATGCAACCCCTGCTGCGTCCAAACTCATTTCAGAAGGCTAATGGAGTGACAAAATCGACCATTTGACTAAACGTCGCTCGTTTGAGGTGTTACACCTCCCTATTTATCCTAGTATGCTTTAAAAATAGACGTGGCTTCAAAGTTCAACTAAATGTTTCCAGCTAGTTAGAGCTAATGTGTTTTTTGGCAAATAAATATTATCTTTGTTGTGCATGCAAGGGGCTCATATACGCTTCACCCTGCAATGCAATGTTTAGATGGTTCACTATCAGACATTTAGTAGAGCTTATGTCATCTGATCTTGTCCACAGCTGCATCCCGTGCACGCACATCTGTTGATTCTTTTATCTCATATTGTCTCTGTGTATGTATTCATAAGCACAGAAGGGGAAAAGTCTTCACACACACATTTAGACACTCTGTAAGACATCACCAAATTTTTTCCACATGACTGACAAAACATCTGTCTCATTCTTCTGACACTCGCTGTGGGCAAATCTGCCAACCCTTGTTTTATCACAAGTGTAGCACAAATATTGTTGGAAATATGAAGTGTGGAATAACATAACGTGGATACAGTAGGTCACTGTAAAATAGCTTCTAAAATAAATATATTTATCTGTATCAAGTTTTCACGAGCAAATTAGAATGTTCACTGAAAATTAAATAGATCTCCACTTAAAAATTTCTCACGTTTTCTTTTCAATTTATTTTATTTTCCATCTTTGTGCTGTCCGGTTGCCTGGTGTGATGATGTGTTTTCTCACTGACTGATAGATTGTAACGATTGATCTCCAGTAATAAGCTTTTGTGCTGCAGGGCTGTAAGCTTGATCGATGTTTGTCTGTATGTTTACAGCCACAGTGACAGCTCAACTAAATCATTCCATTCATAAACCTCCTCCTTTCTCATATATCCATCTGTCTTATCTATTCATCCACTTATTATCAGAGCAGAAACGTAATCTCTCTTTACTAAATGGCTAATTATGACTTATTATTTCAATTATATGAAATGGATTTATTGCCAAGTTAAGTAGCCTAATATTTATCAGGTTCATTTCATGGAAAATCCCCCTGGGGCATCATGGGGAAAAATTGACCTTATTTTTGTAATACATGCTATTTTTTATTACTGTGAACAATTCACTAGACCAATCTTCTCTTTAATTCTAATGCAACTAGTGTTTTTTACTAGTTTTTTATTCTTTTTATATATATATATATATATATATATATATATACTGTATATAATATTATATTTACCCATATTAATGACCCTAAATAAATAACAACTAATGGTGACTTTAACTATTTTGCTGCTGCTCAGAAAAGTTTTTTTTTCCATGTAGAAAATCATTTGGTCTTAAACAAGCAGTTTTAGGGACTTACATTGTATGTCATAACTGGGAACTTTGCCTACAAGCTTTATGTGATATATTGTATCCCATGATGTTATTGAAACATCAGTCATGTGATCCCATCATCAGCACTTCTGTTCTATTCTGAGCCACATGCTGCTGACAAATGAATGGAAATAAGTTCAAATATAAGTTCAAATATTTGCTTCTGCATTTTCACTGCACACAGGCTGACTTTGCAAGTTGGAACCAATGAGTACAGATTAGGTGAAGTTCTCCTTAATGTCAGTTAGTTTGGTGAACCTTGAGTGGTGAAGTGACAGAATTTCCTGAGGAATTGTGTTGAAATTATTCAACAGTAAATCTTGTTTGTTCTTGTAAATGTTGTCCCAGACAGCAAACTGACATTGAATCAACGTGGAAACGACGTCTCTCATGACATTGAAACAACGTTGATTTGCTCATCGAATTAACGTTGAACCAACGTCAGACGCGGCATTCTTCAAAGCTAAATGAAATCGAAAATTGGTTTGCTTTCATAACGTTGAAACAACGCGTTGATTTCAAGTTGATTTTCCGTTAGTTTTGAAAAAATTACGCGTCTGACGTTGGTTCAACCTTAATTCGATGAGCAAAACAATGTCAGATCAACGTTGTTTCGATGTCATATTTCCACGTTGATTCAATGTCAGTTTGCTATCTGGGTTTCATTCAAATCATATTTAGCACTGTAAATGATTAGATCTGTGTGTTTGTACGTATGTTGAATGCTTGTAGGCTTTGGATGAGATAGAACAAGAACAGAAGACAACAAAACCCACTCATGCTTTGGAATAGAAAACATTTAGAGAAAGAGACAAAGTGAGCATCTGTACTGCTATTGGATTTCCATAGTTAAATATATCACTGCCACTAAGTAGAAAAACTATAATCAATGTCTTCTCTCACTTTGCCAGCTTGCCTCTCTCTTTATTCGTCTCTGTCTTTTCTACTTTTAGTCTTTATATTATGGACATTGATTGAACAAGAAAGCCTATAAAGATGCAGACACACTCCTGAGGGTGAAGTGCCCTTCAAGGCTCTTGTTCATGAGCGGATGTGTGGCGCTTATTAAGTATCGAGTGACAAGGTTTTTCAATAATGGATGCAGAGTGGTTGTTGTAGAAAACCATTTGAGGGGGTTTGTGGTGGTCGGTCTGTAAACCTATAGTGAGCTGCCTAGCTAGACAGCATGTTTAGGCTACATAGGCACATTTTTGAAAAACCTGGAGATTGTATTATATTTCATTTAATGCTGATGAGTATATAAAAAATGTACTGTCTAATT